ACCCTAGCATTTGATAGAAAGTGGTCAGATATGGAGGATCTATTGCTGAGTGAAGCAAGCCAGGATATGAAAGATATTGTGTGTATCCACTTAATATATACTCACTATTCACACTTTATGGTAGAGATAGAAATATTGGAGAGCATAAAAGCAATGAAAATAGTTAGCAATCATGAAGACAGTGTAGAACAGGGCAGGAGAAGGGAAGCATATAGAGAAGGATAGCAAGAGAACAAATAGAGAGACATGACTTCAGTGGGACACGGAAACGGTTTACTACCCGTTGATGATAGCATGTAGTATTCTCAACTGGACTGGTCTGAAAAGTAATTTATGTTGGGTAAATTATATTTGCAAGAAAAATGATATATAGTGATTGAATGTTTATAAAAACAATGAGAATAATAATCTGGGGGAAAAAAAAGATGAAAAGCTAAAAAAAAGAGAGCAGTGGTTGGACCAGTCAATGGCCTGGTGGTTAAGACAGCTGGATTCTACTTGGCCAATTGCACTGTTCAAGTCCCAGACCTCCAGACTAGGAGGCTTGAAAAATAGACCAGGTGCATATACTGCGTACATGCCCCAAATCCTGGGGAAATGGAGGAGAAAGGAATTGCAGAATGGCCATCACCCCTGCAAGGTGCTTCCCCACTTTCTCTCTCTGTCTCTCTCTCTCTCTTTCTCTTTCTCTCTCTCTGATGGGTGCACTTGCCCTATAGCAAATTTAAAAATACATCTCATATATATATTTACACATACACACACACATATTTAACATATATATATATGAAATATATATGGTTGCCTTTCTCTTATGGTCAAATATATTTCTTCTTCATTACATCCTGGTATTTCATCCTTTTCCATAATCTCTATTGTAAATGTTTTCCCTATCATGTTGAGAAACATAAATGGCCATACTCCAGTTGAAAATATGCCTAATGTACTACTCCATGTAAATATGCAGAAAAAATTACTATAAAAGCACCAGTATAGTTGAAATGTATTACCTTCATGACTACAAAGATATGTTTGAAGGCATTAGGATACATATAAAACATCTCAATTTTTTTAATAATATAAAATTTTCATGTACATTACATATCTACCACCAGAATTTTTTTTTGTAATTTCATGTATATCTTAAATTTTGGGGGGTAATAAATATTGCAAATATTTTAAAATAAAATGTTCTCTTGATTTCTGAAGACATATTTATTATTGACCTCAGTAGCTGCTCATGTACAGGGTTTTTCTAGACTTTAAAAGGCAACTAAAGAAAATACAGTCTAGGACCAGCTGCTGGTGCAGTAGTTAAGGCAGCTGGATCCCATGTGACTGAACACACAGTATGAGTCCCAGATCAGACAACTTAAAAAACACTCCAGTGGGGCCAGCACATGGTCTAGCAGTTATGTTGCTGGACTCCCACATGGATGACCCCTGTTCAAGTCTTGGATCCAGTGGCATGAAAATCACACCGGAAGCATGTATGTGCATGCCCAAGATCTTGGAAAGAGAGGAGAAGGGATTGCAGTGTGATCATCCTCCCTGGGGAGTGATTTCTTACTTTCCCTCTCACTTTCTCTCTCCTGCCAGAGCATATGATCTAAGGGGGGAAAAAATCCCTTAAGAAGCCAAACACTCTAGGCACACATGTGTGCATGCCTAAAATCTCAAAAGGAGAAATGGAGGAGAAGGGATTGTGGCATGACTAACTCCCATGGGGGGTACATCCTCAGTTTCTCTCTCTTTCTCTCTTTGTCTTTCTCTGGTGATTTTGCAACTCTCTTGGAAAGAAAAAAAATTAATTTTAAAACAAAGAAAAGAAAAGAAAGTCTAGAAACAAGAAATAAAGACAAAATTTTTATTGAGAGCAAGTCAGATATGGCATTCTTTATTTAAATTGTTAACTGATGAATGGGTAGATGGATACGTTCTGGCAAATTCTGTGTCTTTGAATGTAACATATGAAAGGTAAATTTTCTAATGAGAGGAAAATATGACTATTATCAATTCCTTTTCATTCAACAACAAAGGAAACAAAAAGTCATTTAAGAAATATCAGCATTTGCACAATAAAACAATTCTTTCTCCATCCAAGTATCAGAATCCTTGATACTCCTGATCCTTGAATCAAAAAAGCTCAGGTCAACTTTCATGTTAGTTACTAATTCGTTTTCTTAATCATGTCCCATGGGGGTTTCAAATATGTTAAATATTCCTTTTGCAATCTGAAGCAGACTCTTGTTTTTCCCAGGCTACAAAGACTCGAACAGCCATCCAACACCACCGTGTCACTCAAGATCACTTAACACTATGGCCTAGTGCAAAATAGCATATAGAGTAATGGACATAAATGCCAAGAAATAGTTTATGTTCTCTCATCCATGAACACTAAACATTTACTAGTTGAACATACTCTGAAATATTCTTTGTTGACAGAATCTTTCATAATTGGTTAATTTTCTGGTCAAAGCACAAAGCTAAAAAGACCAATTCCTGTATATCAGAGCTCCATAAGAGCCAGTTGCTTTGCCATGTCACCTACCTGCCACAGGAATTTATCACTTTTGTTGAAACAACTTAAAACACAAGTTCTCTTGAAGGCAGGTTAACAATAAGGTCTTGGTACATGATAGTTAACATAATGCTGTGCTCTGAAGTTAAGTAGAAAGTTGTCAGGGTCATCAGTAATCCAGAAGGAAAACAGGTTGACCAGGTAGAACAATTTAGAAGATCCAAATTAAACAGGAAATTGTACTTGTGCATCATGTTTGAAAGAATAGAAAGAGCATTTCTATTCTTGAATTCAAAATTGAGTCTCATAAGCACTAAATAATAGCATATGATACTATGGAAATATATTATATGACCAAGAAGAATTAAAGAAGCCACCATTAGAATGTGTGGGATTTGTTACACATAAATAAGCAATAATCTAAGAAGGGCTAGCTCAGGGTTTTCAACAAAATGAAAACGAAATAAACAAAGGGTTGAATAGTACAATGAAGACTGTATTACATTCAGACAATAAAGAATTGTCTTTTATTTGCAGGGCTAAAACATATCCTATCTGTGGTGACAGAAAGTTCAGAGTAATGTACATGGAAGCATGAAATAAAACTGTGGAACAAACTATCTAAGAATATAAATATAGATTTTCTCTTTTCATAAATATTCAATATATTATTTGACACATTGGTTTGAGTGAAGCTCCCAAGCACAATTTTAAGCATCTTCATTTGGGCTGAGGTCCAGTAAATTATATATTCCCAACCACTATCAGAGCTTTCTCACTAAAAATACATGCTCACACTCTACTTTGAAAATATTCTAAGATAATTATTTCCATTTTCATAGTAACTAGTACAGTTATGACTAGCGTTGTCTCAGGTTTCTAAGGAAAGAAAATTATTCTGAGACACTGTTAATAAGAGAACGTGTGGTAATAGAGAGGGGCATTTTCTTAAAATTGTGCTAAAGCTGTCATTTTCATTTTTAATTACTTTAACTGTGCTAGACAAGATTCTATTTTGAGTTACACAAATAAAACTATCCAACATAACTCTTTAGTCTATTGCCCACCAATCTCCCTGCCCCTCCCTGTATCAACCTCACAATGGGTTTAATTCATTTGGAAAGCATAAAGCCAACATTTAGCAAACAAAACTCCTGGCTGACAATTGCTCACCCTCTAGTGAGGAAATTCAGTGAATGGTAACACCTAGGAAGAAGTCTTACAGAACGTCGACTATATAGATGCCAAGGAAAACCACTTAAAACTTTTTTTTGACAATAATAGGAAAGCCAAATGGTGTTGGAAAGTTTATTGCCAGAAGTCTATAAAACCATGTTTAAAAATCAAAGAGGTTTAATATCAGACTTTTCATCACTGCAGTGTAAGACTCCAAAAGAAATATAGGAATCATTTCAGTTGCCTCTTTCATTTGATGACGAACTTTCTCAGCACTGCTACTTTTAAAATCAAATCATGCCCAATTCCCCAGGGATGCTTGCTGTTTAGTGCTTATCACACAAGACTATCTTAGTGACATTTTTAAAAAGCAAATGTCCAAGAATGAATCTAACACTTTTGGATTTGAGGTTACCAGACTGAATTTTGTCTAAGGTTAATTTCACATTATTCTACAGTGAAACAGAATAAGCTTCCTCATCTTTCAAGATTACTCAAGGCATAGAAAGACGCATCACAAGATAACAGAATTAATTAGCTTTTGCTTTAGTGGGCATGAGAATTTCTCAGTTCCAGTTAGCTTATAAATGCATCATAGATTCAAATTCATCAATTCTTTGCTTGGTGTTCCCCTTCCTGATTTTCCGATAGGATATTGTATTGTATCTTGAATAGGCATTTCTGGAAATATCGCTCTTCTTTCCTAAGCTTGGCTGCTCGTCAGGCGTCGCAGGTTGGGAACTGGGACTGCTCAGTGGAGAGTCCTCACTCACATCATCTTCCTCTTTAAACTGAGAACTCTCTTCATGTTTTTTCTTAAATTCTATCACTCGGACTTCATCTTCATCATCATTGCAATCATCATTGTCATCATGATTAACTTCTTCATCCCAAACCTCTTGCTCATCAACATGTTTAGAATGCGACATGTCAACTTGACTGGGTTTCTGAAATCCCAACCATTCAATTTCAGTTGCGTGGTAAGCCTTCTTCCTATCCTCATCTTCTCTCTCCTCCAGAGACTGTTTGGCAATCCTTTCCTTCTGTCTACTTATTTCCTGGTTACTGCTGCTCAGAGGAATCTTCTCCCACTGATGCCCTGTAGCAAAATTAATTGGTAGTTGAGATGTGCAGATATGCCAAAATACCAGCTGTTATTCTCCAAATTATTTTTCTGATAATCATTTCCCAACATGTGTTTTATGGGATAGAATTCTGTGGGTTACCAATATGCTTTATACACTCAAATGGCTTACACATTCAAATTAATTTGGAAAACATTGCCTTAAAGACAATTAAATAAGCTTTCTTGGAATTTATCCAAGACTTTAAAATACTAATCAGTATGGTAAATTTCCAAGAAAGTTGGCAACCCAAACTCACTTGATCATGGAATGTTATTGTCATGGACTACTGTATTTTGTCAGACTGGTATTCCCTGAGACACACTTTTGTTTTGCCTTTTTTTTTTTTTTTTTCTTGTCATAAGGTGCATGCGCACATCAGAGAAACTCACAGAGAGAGAGGGATAAGGAAAGTAAGAAATCACCCTCCCATTCCAGGGGGAGATGGCCACATCTCAATTCCTTCTCCATTCTCCTCTCAAGATTCTGGGAACACGTGCATCCACAAGTGCCCTGCATGTTTTTTAAGCCACCAGAACTGGGACTCAAACCATACAATTGGCCATGCGGGATCCAGTCTCGTTAAAGACCATGCCACCTGGCCCCAAGACACACTTTTTAAACTCCTATCTGCCTGTCACAACTGGATATGGGAACATAAATAATAAAATATTTGGATCTATCGCATACACACACACACACACACACACACACACACACACACACACACGCACCTCGAGAAAAATTTGGAAAATACTTTAGGAGGAGAAATTCTTTCTTCCAGTAGTAAAAATGGTAACTGTTCAACATCTGGTCACACTCAGAGTAGTACTTGGCATTTGACACCACGAGTCTCAGAGTTTTCTAAAGTACGCAGGTGTAAAAAAGGAGCAGGAATCACAGACGATCAGACCCATGTGCTGACCTGACTTTAACACCAAGCCCAACACATCACACTCAATATGGCCTAAAATCTGCCACTGCTTTCTATCAAGATTTCAAAACGTTGCTGAGGTCTAATCTACACAATGCTAGATTAGCCTGTTGTTCTAGACACATTCCTGAGGACAATTAATTGATTCAAGTTATTTGGCACCATGTTGTGACTTTTAAAATACTTACTTCACTGCAATCATTACTTTTTAACCAGCCAGATCACATCTTTAAACTCTCAACTATATTTACTGGGCATGCTAAGAATTAATTATAAGAGAGCAGAGGTTGTTCTGTGAGCTTTTAGCCCTCAAGGGCTTCTTTGGGACGTTTCAGTCTGCAGTGTACATGACTTTAAAATATCATCTGAGTTATGCCCATTGTCAGACCTGGGCTCACCATGCTTTTTCAATACTCTATAGGTCAATAAATAAAGTTAAAGGCAAGATTACTCTTTTTCCTTCTCTTTCACAATTTTCTACTTTCTGAATAATGTTCAGGTCCATTTTTATCCATAGTACTCTTTGAGTTCTTTTTAGTTCCTTTTGTTTCCTCTTCTCTTTGTAAAGATAGATTATCACCCTTAACTAGTTACACAGAACTATTATAAGATCATTGGTATTCAGTCAGTGTTCTTTATATTATACAAAAACACATATTAGAATGCTATGATTTTAAGCTTTGTTTTGTTACCCACAAGAGCCAAAAAACTGGTGTTTTTTTTTTTATAAACTTTGTTAATATTCATGACTCAGATATGGGATGGTCATACATGAAATTACTCTTTGAAACTGATATTTCTGTTACTATCTATGACTCGGGCATGGGATTGTCATACATGAAATTATTCCTTGAATTTAAGTAATAGATTATCTTCAATATTTTTAGCATCTTTAAATTTTTAGATCCAGAAGCATGCTCTTGAAGATTTTATCTCTGTTTTCCATTGTGATCATAAAAAGCACCTGTACCTCTATCACAAAGGGAAAAAATATGCCTGATTACACTTCAAAAGATTCATTCCAGGGGAAAATTCACCAGCAAGTCCATCTAGTTTAAAATGCAGACTGATTTCATTCTCTACTTGATCAAAATGTAAGGTCCTAGAAAACTGTTTACAGTGTATCTCCTGATTTGAAATTTAAAAAGGGTTCTAGATGCTTCTGAGTTATGTTGGAAGCAGAAAGATTAGTGCAAAGAAGTTATTTAGTTCATTTTGTGGGTCATAAATCTAAAATATTATCTCTGATTATATAATAGCTTAAAAAGCTGGATATAGCTGGGACCAGCAGATGGCATAATGGTTACATTGCTGAACTCCCACGTAGTCAACCATGGTTTGAATCCTGGACCCAGAGGCTTAAACTCATGCAAGTGTGTGTGTGTGTGTGTGTGTGTGTGTGTGTGTGCTTAAAATCCCAAGAGGAGAATGGAGGAGACGGGATTACAGTGTGGCCATTCCCCCTTGGTGGGGAGGGATCTCACTTTCTGTCTCTCTGTCTCTTTCTGACTCTCCTGTGAGTGCATGTGCCCTTTAGGAAAAAAAATCTCTCAAAAAAAGAAAAGTGGCTATAGCTTTTTATGTTTTTCCTTAAATGTCTGCACATTGGTTAGAATAAACTCTCTGAGACAAGCCCAGGCAAAGAAAGTAAATCCAGGAAATTGCTAATCACATCCATGTCCTCCTTGGAATCTTCTATATCATGTGATGTTTTAATATTTCAGCCAAAAGTCTCTTCAATTTTTTGCCTAAAGTCCTACCTAACTTAAATGAGTTAAATTTAAGAAGCTGACTTGTTAGATAAACATCTTATTTCAAATTAAGATGTTTATGACTATAAGAAAAGGAATGATTGAGTAATAGATTTTATCCAGAACTTTATTTGAAAACTGCTTAAATGTAGATGTCTTCTTAGAAGAAAAGGCTAAAGAATTTTGTTTCTTAATCTGTTGTGCTTCCTCAAAATTTAATATAGTCACTTCAATACTCTTTTTTTTCCCCTCCATTTTCTTAACGAACACAATGAAAATTAACTTTAACATTTTGGAAGCTGTCTTTCACAAGAAAGAATTAACCATTTTGCACTGAATATCAGAGGTCCAGAATTTTGCTATAGAGTATATCATATATAAGATTAATTTAAACTACCTGCCATTAGTATACTTCTAGGATAAACCTGATTTTGAAACATTTACATTTCACAAGGTGTCTGACACAGATTTGGAAGTGCCAAATCAACAATGACAACAAAAAGGTTGATTTAATGGACTAACTTCCTAGAAGACAGATATCACATTGGTTTGCCAATCAGATACAACAATCCAAGCCGTCTCAGCTTTGAAACATCTGGAATGCTTTCTAAGGTGGAACCCACAGATAAGTCAAGACTCTCTTATCTGCTCATAGCAGCTTTGGGATTTTGAAGTCATTTCCTGGATTGCTTTTCAATATCACACTCACAACCCATGCAAAAACTGTCATCCACATCCATTCAGACAATTTCTGTATACAATACTGTAGTTCCTGTTACCTTCTCTGTGTGTCATTTCCTCAGCACTTGTCTCTTGGAGAGAAAGATCTGTAATAGCTTTATGAACAATGAAGAGATTCTCTTCTGGGTTTTCTGGAAAAAAATACAAGATTTGCAGTTTAGCATTTGAAAAATATGGAGTTGAAGGGTTAATAAATGATCAGTTTAGACACTACGTAGTTTTCTTTCATTTTAATTATGAACACTAAAAATTACTATTTGTTTCTTCTGATTCATTTATTGATTGATTCCATTTATTTATTTAATGGTTATTTAATTTATTGATTGATACTCACTCCTTTAATATTTACATAAGGCCATGAATTTAAACATCCTCAGGTATTTTTAGAAAGAAATGTTAATATTCTATTTTTTATTTAAATAATAATGGGCTATTAATAATAATAATAACCAGTTAACATTTAACCAACACAGTAATTTTTAAGTATTTTACAAATATTGGTACTATTACTCTGTACTCCAGTGGAAAAACTCAACCTGAATGATGCAAAGTTGTGTAGGGTCACAGAGCTACCAAATAGACAAGCCTGAATTCAACCAGAGGCAGAGGCTTGGCCCTTCTGTTATGTAGCCTTACTAGAACAAGGGGCCAAATTTGGGGGTGTCCAGATAATTCCTAATGTAGCAGCTTACCACAAATAAAATTCTCAGTGGATTTATAAGACAAAAAAGCAAATTCAGGAGAAGGGAAATACTTTACCTTTTTGAATCTCCTCATCCATAGACCAGTTACTCAGCGTATCCCCTTGTAAATTTCCACTTTTCTTCTGGTTTCCTTCTGTGGGTAGATCTTCAAGACTGGGTTCCACCCTGTGGTATGGTGGGGTGCCATCCATATCAGCAGTGTCCTCATCAGTTTTAGTGATTGGTTGTTGATGATTTTCAGGTGGTTTATTCCCATTACACTCAGCCTGACTGAAGGTTGCTGGAACATCTGTCATGATGCTCAGTGGAGTTTAATTTGGAGAGAGCTTTGGGGAAACTGAGTGAGTAGATGCTTTTCTTGGGAGTCCTGTAGTCCAACGCCTACTCTAAGAGTACAAATGACTCACTTTGGAACATAATAACAAGATTGGTTTTCTAAAGGTGTCCAGACAGAGCTTAGAAAAAAAGCAATAGGATTTGTCAGATCTGCTTCCAGCCCATGAGCAAGATCCAGCCAATCACCTCCTTTTTTGTTGCCTAGCAGTCCCACTTGCAGAATTAATGGTACCCTTTGGATTTACATAAACAAACAATCTGAGGCAATCAGTCTTTTGTGCTGGCATGTAGAGGAGGACTTTCAGCTTGTCAGTCCCCCTCTGGGAACAGAGATTTTTGTCCCTTTTCATAATGGTCCATTGTAATTTTCCTTGTAACAGGAGCCACAATTGTTTCACAGCTTTAATCCAGAGAGAATGACCACCTTGAGGAATATTAGTTCTGTGTAACCAGCTTAACATTTCCAAACAGATTTTGTTCAAGTAAAACCTCCGCTATTTTGTAGAGGACAATAGTGTCGTTTCTTATTTATTAAAGAATAAAAACGGCTTATCAAAAAACCTGTAAACAGGACAACTTTATTGTAAATGGTTCTGGCAGCTGATTTCATGGTATGCTTTCACAAGGCCAGAGAAGTGAGCTAAGAAAAAACAAATTCTATCGACTTGCTAAATTCATTTGGTCTATAGCTTCTTATCCTCTATGTCTGCCTACGGGAGCCCAACCCACTCCTTAAAATTCTAACATAATTTTCTTCATAAAGTGTTCCTTTCCACTAAGAATTATTCTCTAATGTTAGTAAAATGATATAACATCAACAGAGTAATGTTAGTAAAATGATATAACATCAACAGAGTAACCCCTTGGAGGAAACAAGTAAAATATCTAGTACTGGACACCCATCCTTTTTCAGGGGGGAGGGTGTTGCCATAGTGTGCGTGAACTCACCAGTGAGATAGAGAGAGACAGGAAGAGAGAAAGTGAAAAATCAAACTCCTCTCCCAAGGGGATGTCTATGCCACAATCCTTTCTCCATTCTCCGCTTGGGATTTATGGCACACATGTAAGCGTGCCTGGGTGATTTTTAAGCTACTGGGTTTGGACTCGAACCACAGTTGACCATGTGGAAATGCAGCACCTTACCCACCATGCAACTTGTTGGGCCCACCTTCCTTTTTAAGGAAAGATAGTATTTTTCTTCTTTTTTGGGTCTCACATAAGATTAAATCATTCTAAATCATGCTTCCCCCTCTTTAAGGCCAAACCTTTGACCTAACCAACACTTCTCACTTCTCAGTTCTTAGGCTTAAATATCATTTTTTAAATGACACTTTCCTTGATCCACAAGATTAGGTTGGGACTCCTCTTATACATTACTTTTGCCCTTTAGAATACTCTTCCATTACAATTAAACAAATATTGTGTGTAGTGCCTCTCACCAACGGAAAGTTAAGCTTCATTTTGGAAAGAGTAATTAAAATTGTTTTCATGTGTCCCCAGAATGTGACATCTGCCTTGAAATAGGTAGTAACTCAATAAAAAGAGACTTTAAATACATGCATATTTGAGAGTTTATAGAAAAGTTTATAGAAAGTTTTAAAAGTTTATAGAAAATTGGAATGAAAGTATAAATGTATTTTAGTGCAAAAAATTCTGAAATCCATAGTTATTTCATAATACACATTTTCCATAAACTTTTTGAAGACCATTCATACATATATTTGAATAGTGAATAAAGCTTACCTCCCAAAAGAATACAGTTCATATTTTTTCTAAAGGGAATAAGAATTATAAATGTATTATATTCAAAATTGTGCCTAGGGCTGAACCCCTTAGGTTCAGTACCCACTGGCACTCAGATCATTTAATCACCCTCTTCCGTGGAAGACATGTCTAACAGACCCTAGAACTGCTCTATTCAGCACACTATTCATTTAACTGTTTTTAATTTCTTAAACACTCATGTGGCACTTATATGCCAGGCACTATTCTAACTGTTTCACAAATAGTAAAACATTTAGTCTTCATAATAGCTCTACAAGGTAGTGCTATAGGTGATCAGGTGGATGTGACCAGGAAGTCCCAAGACACCAATGAAAAGGGCATCTGTCACATCACCCACCATTGTCAGGAGTTGCAGCTAAACTCCGGGAAGCAATAGGGAAGGTTATTTGACTTCTGCTGCGTAACCGTCATTAGAGGACCTGGAATATTTAATTTTCTTCTCTCACAACACATGCCCACATAGGCATCCTCTCAGCTGGTTGACCAATATTTCACTTTCCACTGGAGTCACCCAAAAGTACGAGCAAAACTGTCCCAATGCACATGCTCATACCTTCAAAGTCCACACTGGGTATGCCTACAGCTTCCTCCTACTAGCACTCAAGTTCTCCAGACCAGATAAGAAGTGCACAAGCGCAAAAAAAAAGCCCATGAAAACAAACAACAGAAATGGCTACAGTGACAAACCTCCTCTCCTAAATGTTTATAGTGAGACTCCACAATAAAAAATTAAACCCCATTCTCCTCTAGCTCCAGTCTCTGCAATTTCCCTGTCCAGAAGGCTCCCTGAAATGCTATTTTTTTAATTGTTTTTTATTTATTTATTTATTTTAATTTGTTATAGGGCACCTGTGCTCACCAGAAAGAGAGAGAGAGGGAAAGTGATAAAGCAAGCTGCCAAGTCCAGGACTCGAACCATGATCAGCCATGTGGGAATCCAGCATCTTAACCACAATACTACCCACTGCTGCTCACTCCCTCCCATGTACTATTAAAACTCTTAAGCCAGCAGATGGTGTGGTGGCTAAGGCACTGGACCCCACATGGTTGACTCTGCAGTTTGGTCCCAGACCTGGCAGCCTGAAAAACACACTGGGCACATCTCTGTATGTGCCCAAAATCTTGAGAGGAGAATAGAAGAGAAAATACAGTAGAGGAGAGAAGATGATGTGTCTATCCTCTGTGAAGGGGGGTGGTTTCTCACTTCCCCTCTTTCTCTGTCTCTCTCTGGTGAATGCACATGTCCTATAGCAAGAAAAAAAGAGAACAGAAAACAGAGAAGAAAAATAAAAAGGAAAATTAAAGAAATCTAAAAAAAAAAGACTTCTCTTTTTTCAAGAGAGAGATTTTTTTGCTATAGAATACGTACACTTGCCAGGGAGACAGAAAGAGACAAAGAAACAGAAAGTGAGAAATCACTCCTGGGAGTCGGGGGGATGGCCACACCACAATCCTTTGTCCTTCATTCTCCTCTTGGGAGTTTGGGCATGCACGCATACACACCTGGTGTGTTTCAGGCCTCAAAGTCTGGGACTCAAACCTCAGTCAATGATGTGGGAGTCCAGCAATGTAACCATTACACCATCTGCTGGTCCCCAAACTTCTACTTTTCATAACTGTTCTCACAGCTGTGGCTTTATTTGTGTCTTGGGACCAGTCAGTAATCTTAGACATCTGGGCCCAAGGACCAAGCATCCCATGGCAAAGCTTCCCAGTTCCTCATCCAATCACAGTATGTACCATTATTATATTCACTTTACAGTTGAAAAGAATGAAGCACAGAGAGATTAAGGAATTTACTAAAAAATCACACAACTAGTAAGCCTACTGAACAGAGTTTGTAGGATAGATGAAGCCAAGGCCATCTTTGACCTGGGTGCTAACGTTTCCTTGGGCCAGAGAGCCCAGGGTGATCCAGAATTAACTACATTGGCAGCAGAGAGAGTTGTAACCATGAGAGGGCAGCAGAGAGCCTGCAGTGGTACGAAGGTCATCCCAAGAGACATTGCAGCTGCTAAGGACAAAGTGGAGAGGGTGTCCTCTCTCCTAGGATATTGAAGTAGTAAGTCTGCCCGTGAGAAAACATTGACTAGAATCAGATGGAATGCAGTAGCTAAGACCAAAACTTAGGAACCAACAGGGACATCCTAGACTGTGAGGTCCTGAAGGGCAGGTGGAGCACTATTCAGCAGAATGCCCAGGAAGAAGCATAGTAAAGGACCTACCTGCATTTGGTTGAAATTCTCTTGGGATTGCCAATTCAGGAATGCAGCAAAGTTTAGACAGTTCAGGCCCATTGTCTCTCCTACTCCTAGATTTCCTTTACTCTATAGCAACATGCAACTTATAGCTATAGCCTCATCTTTACGGAAAACTATTTATTTTTTTATTTATCGATTGTCTTCTTTCTAATGTCATGCTTCGACTCTTTTATGGCATTAGAATTATTTCAGGTTTGGAGAGATAGAAAAATAATCCAGAATTCTGTCAACCTTGATTAACAAGCATATTCACTTCTAAGGAAAGCATATTTTAATGCTGCCCTATAGGATAATGAAGGTCTGGTAAATAGTTTATAAGATGAATTACTTTTCCTACAAGTAGGTGATAACATGAGACACATTCAGGATCAAGATGACCCTATATATCAAATAAAATGCAGGGTCTTTTGTCCAGAAAGAGAAAAGTTGTTACTCACTATAACAACCTGTAACTTAGTATGTTGGAATTTACCCTAATGACCTTTATTTCAAATATTATTGTATCATGTACACTGTAAGAAATACAACCGTTTTAGAATTATTTATTTAATTTTATTTAACATTATTTTTAATTTGCTATAGGGCACTTGTACTTACCAGAGAGAGACAGGAAGTGAGAAAGCAAGCCACCAGGTCTGGGACTTGAACTATGGTTGACCATATGGTAGTCCCGCATCTTAAACACCATACCACCTGCTAGCCCCAAAACAAGACTTTTTTTTTATTTAAATTTTTATTATCATCATAATCTTGTTTATATTACATTGGATTACACATAACTTTACAGTGTATTACATTGCTTTTTCAAAAGGGAATGCCATGCATGTCAGTCAATACCGAGACATTAATCTCCCTGCTTCAACATTCAATATCTTTTCTATGATTTTCCCAATTATTGTTATTATTATTCTAATTTTTTTCAATTTATTTATTTGCATTCATTCACTGTACATCATTACAGCATACAAAATGAGATTTTCCATCCAGAGTATACTGTATATTGTCTCAATCAAGCACATCAACAAACATGTTGTTGTCAGCAAATGATCTTCCATTTCTTGTTTTCTGTATGTTTTGCTATTTTCCCCCCATCC